TGAAATATTGCAATTTATTACAATACTGTAAGTATTTGAAATATTGCAATTTTTTTCCTAGAAGATTCTCATAAACAAAAATTACTATGAGCACAACATCCAATAAATGCATAAAATCTGAATAAATTCTGTTTAAATTTATGCAATCATTAGTAGGGTCAGGTAAAATCGTTTAGTGTGCAATTAATCATCAGAACTGTCAAATTAATGTTTGTCACTTTGAATTTACTGCATTTAAATCCATGTGATGAGGATGTATTTTTGCATGTGACACGCTTTAACTATCAAGTGCGCATATAAGCCCAGTAGTGAACGGTGGTGTGGAGCAGCTAACCCGAACTCTCCTCCAGTGAATGGTGGAAACAAATCTGAGAATCCACGAAGCACTCACTCAGTCCCTTATGATCAGCAAAGTAAGAGCTGGGATGATAACGTGGGGTGGGCTGTAGCTGTTAAAATGAAGAAATTAGTTAACTGATGTTTTGTATACACATTTTACAACACAGGGTAACCGATTTTAAACATTCAAGTTCAATTGCCAATCATCAAATTCATTATCAACGGGAAGCACTCGAAGAGCGCAAACCTCCACCAAGGCAATAGGGTCAATTATGCTAAAAGGATCCCCTTGGAAAAGTCCTGTTTCCAGTGCTTTATAGTAGCATCATGTTGCATGTATTTAAATTCAAATTTAAACTTCATTTCACTTCTCAAATATCACTGTGTTTGTCCCTCCCCTATATGATATATTCAACTGATATTTTTGATCCAAACAATGATTTATAAAGGTAAATCAGGAAAATTAACAAGGGTGCCCAAACTGTTTCATATGACTGTGTACATACTTACTTACTAGGGATGTAAGAAAATATCGATGCACTGAAATTTACGATATTTCATTTCCCGATATTGAACGCACACTCTAAGCCAATCCTCATCTCTACAAAAAAAATTTAACATTCATCTTACAATATTGAACTTATTAAAACATTATCTATTATCATTCAAGGTTATTTACTGGTCATCTTACTAATTTAAGGGGCACACAATACTACAGTGCCACCTACTGGACACTTTGAAACCCACGCCCTGTGAAAGCATCACAGCTTTGCCGATCTCAGAGTGTTAAAAGAAAAAAAATTCCTGTGTCCGCATCGTGATCCGGAMCATCACCAAAATTTAAGGGTGGGTTACTTGAGCCAGTACCCACATGTGKTAAAAATGTCATGACAATCTTTCCACAAGTTTTTGAGTAATGTTGTCCACAGACAGACACGACCGAAAACATTACCTCGCCCTTGGCGGAGGTAATAAAGTATCAGGAAATTAAATATCACAATATTTCAGTGTATTGATCTTTACTTTACACTCCAACATATACATTGTGTAAATACAAGCATAAGGTATTGCTAATTTAATTTATTTCTATTGTAAATGCATGTGTCTGTGCAGAGACTCGGGGGTTGTGGATCATCCATCCCTCCATCACAGAGCTCACCCTGAGCAGCACACAGTGTCCCTGTCACCCAGCAGGCACGCTRCCAGGGTTGAGTATGGAGAAGACGACATGATGGCCAGGTTTACAGAGGGACAGGACGTGTTGGCCAGGTGGTCAGATGGCCTCTTCTACCTGGGAACGATCACAAAGGTTGGTGCAAAAAAAACATCTATTCTGTGCAACAGCTTCTTTTTCTTCAAATAGATCCRAGTTGGCACTCTGCCGCAGCCACCCAGTTTGTGCGGACGGTAGATTTACACATGACCTGTGTTCCTTCCAGTTCTTCATGATGGATTTAGCAGAACTCCAGGGGATGTTGAGGGTTTTGGAAATCCTTTTGCATCCATCCTGACTTGTACTTTTCAATAAAACTCTCTGAATTGAATTAGGATAGTCATTAAAGGAGGTGAATAT